CCCCACATGAAGCAGAAACCAATGAGACCAGTACGGAAGAAGATACGTCCCGTAAAATTAAGAGACTTTGTTGAATTTTAATTTTGTGTTTGTAAATTCTGTACATTTAACTAAGTTATTGTTAATTGTTTATTGGTTTAATGTAAGTGGCTATTGTTCGGGACGAACAATACTAAGGAAGGGGCAGTGTTACGACAGCAGGGGTCACGTGACGCTAGTAACACGTCATATTCTTGTAGGTTCGTGAAGTCTCGAGCTTTTACTAGATATGCGGTATTCTTGTGTATAAAAGACCGGTAAGAAGTGACGGCAAGAATGCAATGTAATGCAATTGAACTGCAGACAGAGAGAGACTGACAATTGCACGTGAGTCATTCGTTGTAAATTATAGCGTTTGTTATAGCGTAACTGTGGAAATTAAGTGTATTGCAAAGTTGTATTCAGAAAGAATAAACCAGTTTTGTTTAAGATAGGACTTGTATCGCTAAAGTTTCTTCGGAAAGGATTTTTACGGAAAATTAACTAACGACCAGAGACGTAACAGTATGATCAAGCTAAAGGTCGGCCTAGAACAGGGGTCGGCAACCCTTCAGGGAAGAAGAGTTTTTTTTTGTTTTTTTTTGTCTAAGACCAAAACATTTCGAGAGCCGCAATATGCCCTAACGGAGCATATTAATTGATATTACATTTTTAACACCCATTATGCCTGAAACATCCTCAACTTCTCTCCACAGTAAGAGTAAAGCCCGCGAGCCGCAGATTGCCGACCCCTGGCTTAGAATATGAAACTTTTATTCACTTTATCGCTAATGGTATTCTGACTCGCAAATGCTTTCAATAGGTTTGGTTTGTTTTTGAATTTCGCGCAATGCTAAACGAGGGTTATCTGTGCTATCCGTCTCTAACTTAGCAATGAAATAATAGAAGGAAGAAAGGTAGTCATCACCACCCACTGCCAACTCTTGGGTTACTCTTTTATCAATGAATAGTGGGATTGATCATAACGTCCCCACGGCTGAAAGGGCGAGCATGTTTGGTGGGACGGAGATTCAAACCTGTTATCTGCGACCCTCAGATTACGAATCAAGCACCCTAACCACCTGGCCATGCCAGGCCCATTTATCATAACAGAGTAAGGAATACAGTACTTGCATACTACACTCCTCATTTTCCAAAATTTGATAATAATCAATATATATTTACACAGTTAAAAACTCAGTATCGTTGATGCTTTACTCTAGTTGATCTAGGGATAAATGTACACAATGTAATTAATATATGCAAGAACATACATAATAGAAGGGTATATATTAAAATTCATTGTAACTGCTAGTATCAAAATTCATTGTAACTGCTAGTATCAAAATTCATTGTAACTGCTAGTATCAAAATTCATTGTAACTGCTAGTATCAAAATTCATTGTAACTGCTAGTATCAAAACGTTCCACTAGTTTCTGTCTCTTAAAAAATAAGAGCATTCATTTTTACAGGAAGAAGAACTTTGATTTTCCTTTACATAAATACTTACATGAATCGACGAATGGAAGAAGTTTCTTAACATTAGATAGCATAAGGGTTTTATCAAGGAAGTAGCAAACACCGTTTGGCTTATAATCGGAAAACTTTTGATTTTTCCAAAGGTGTGCACAAACCTATGAGAAAAATGAAAGATGTGTTTTATTACTTTTGTCACAAAAGTGTTTGAGCATGATCATTTCAAATGCTCATATGTTTGACCATTAAACAATAATTACATTGAGATTTAATGAAGCAATTCGTGTTTTTTACTTCAAAATATTTTGCTGCTTTCAAAAAGAACAATGAACGATAATTATTTAAACCTCCTACAGAAAATAGATTAAAATATTGCACTTTGACCCGTACTAAAAGTTGAGTACTAAAGCAGCTATAGCACATATTACGACTTGTAGGTTTTCCAAAATCAAAAGCTTAATATACAATATAATATCAAACAAAGTTTAAAAAGCGAATTTTCAGGCAGTATGATCACAGATCACAATAAACAATCGATTGTATTATTTGAATAATTCAACATTACTTCAGATTTGAAGTGTAAATAAAAATACATGAATTATTACATTAATTATCTTACTAACGTATAAAATCATATGCTTAAAAAAGCAAAATTCAAGTTAAGCTTGGACTTTAGAAAAAGTTAACCAAAAACTAAAATTCTCCAGGTTTAGATCATTCTAACAAAAAATCTTAAGTTATAGATAAATTCAAAAGCTTTTGCTGACAAAAATTACACTTTTCAAAGTTTCAATACTTACAACAGTGGCAAAAGTTAAATTAATGTTAAAGTCCACACCATTTTAGCTGCCTTTTTTTTTTTTTGTCATTTTCTTGAAGTCACGCCTGTTATGCTTATGAAACGGGGGTGAGGTTGCACGTTGTGTAAGAATGTCGATAGATAGTATCCTACAGTGGTAAGTCAGGTGATGTCTCTAGGTTATGGCCTCCTCTATGTTTGAATAAGAATGGCCATTTTGTTGGTAACACTAGTCACTATGGGTAAACCTAACAATTCCAGTTAAGTAAGAAACGTTAGATTTAAACATTCTAGAGTATATCTTGTTGAGTAAACATTCTGGTTCCTGGTCTTATGTGAGTTGGTTGAAGGGAAGACATCTTGAAGGAAGAAAGCCAGTTAATTAGTTCAAGAATCCAGTGAAAGGGAACCATCCAGCTCTCAGAAGGCGAGTGTTTAGTCCTTAATTTGAATAAATATTAATTTTATTTTGTATTAAACATCGTGTCCAGCGTGTTCCCTGCTTTGCTTAAATTTAGTTGAAATTCAACATTACTTCGTCATTTATCCGGTTGATTCTTCAGTTATTAGGTGGTCCTACCTAATTCTCTTTCAGAAAATCAGTTTAACCTGAAATTACTACAGTATCAGTGTTTTCCATACATACGGCAACTTTCGACATTTATTCAATTACCAATATATTCTTGATGGCTCAGACCTGGTCGTTTAAAAAGAGTAGTTTGGTGGTTAAACTATCATATTACTTTGTGTGTTTGTGTGTGTTGTTTTCGTAAAGTTGGGACGGATAAACAAACGGAAATACTTGTATACCACTTTTTCTATTTATGTGATCAGAAAAGAGTTTGCACTAAAGTATAAAGTGTGGGTTTATTTTTACCACCGAAAATCACAACAGCTAGTGAAGTAGATAGTATGCATTATGTGCATCTAACACGTAGGAGACAAGCACTCCCCTTCACTTTTTCCAGTTAGCTTATATACACTATCATTAACTATTATTAGATTGACTTAGCTTTCTTTTGCTCCTCCCCCCTCCTCACACCATCAATTTCCAACAAAGTTAGGCCCTACTAGCATGCATTTTATTACAGAAGGTACACTTTAACGAATGACGTAATCTGCCAGTTCGAAAACCTAAATAGCCGGATGCGAAACCATTAAAAATAAATATGGGCTTTGACAGAACAGAAATAATAATAGAAAAACAGAGTCTCGGTAACTCATTGGATTTCTGTTATATTATCAGATGTATAACTTAAGTAAAGAAAGGGTGAAATACAATCACGTCGAAATACAATTTATAGGACGGATGTAAAAACACATAAATACTAGCTTAAAAATATATTGAATTTTAATAACATTGTCGAAGAACATAGATACATGAGCATGAGACAAACTCTCTAATGATCTAAATGTATTATTTATCGGTTTCTCTGGCAAAGAAAAACAGGATGTTACAGTTCTTCTTAAAAGTAGAATTAAAACTTATATATATATATATATATATAAATAAGAAACTAACGAACTTTTTTATTATTTGTATACTTAAGACTTTTTATCAGTTCCGACCAGAGACGTCGCTAGGTACTTAAAAAATTCGGGGCTCGAGCCCATAGGTGCTGACATTTTCGGCGTTTAGTATGATATTGATTGTGGTTTTCTATTCTGATTTTTCAAAACACCTACTGGGGATTCGGGGTACTGTCAAATAGAATCGGGGCACGGGCCCCGTGTGCCAGTGCCTAGCGACCCCCATGGTTCCAGCCCTCTCCATTTTCTTTTCTTTCAATGGACCCATCTTATATAATAATTAATTTGCTCATGTACTTTTACATTGTGGTGGGCAGAGCACAGATAGCCCATTGGGTAGCTTTGTGCTTAATTACAAATAAACAAACAAACTTTTACATTATGCAACTGATATTTATGATCTGAATACAATTCTTCTCGATGTTTATAAGATACATTTGTGCATTGACTGGTTTCTTAATAAAATTTGTTAATTTGTATTATCTTAAATCTAATCTGATTTGATTGATTTAATTATTATTACAACCTGACAGCTGACGTACTAGTTCGATGCACGTGGAAGACCTAGAGATCTCGGAAGAGTAGTAAGGGCTTGGGGCATGTTCGTACCAAACTATGTCATTCCCTAGGAACGAATTCTTTTTTGTTGTTGTTTTTTTACTGAACCTTTTGTATACAATATGAAAAATGACCAATCGTAAAATTGCACTCCAACAAACACAAAAAGTTATGTTCTTTAATTAAGGCGATAAATACGCGAGTTGTGGTACAGTGTAACTTAGTGTATAATGTTTCTTAACAGAATTGTCATAATTCAAAATGCGTTGTTTGCTTAAACACAAACACAAATTTACAGTTTCAATAAAAATTACTAAAAATATTTAGTTTAACTACGATGTTAAGTTTACATCAGAATACGTGCTATTTATTGTGAACTGTAAGGGGGAAATGCCCCCTCTTGCCCCTTTCTGCGGGCGCCCATGATTAAATGATAATAACTCGATTGAAAAATAAAGAGGTAATTTATAAAGTAATGATATCTCACTTTTTCCTTAATAAAATATACTATAAACATATGTGGTCGGTTAACTTATTTTGAATTTGGCGCAAAGCTAAACGAGGGCTAACTGCGCTAGCCGTTCTTACTTTAGCAGTTATAGAATAGAAGAAAGGCAGCTAGTCAATACCATTCACCGCTAACTCTTGGGCTACTTTTTCACCAAGGAACAATGGGATTGACCGCCACGTTATAATGCCCTCACGCTGAAAGGGTGAGCATGTTCGGTGACGGGGATTCGAACCTATATTCCGCAGACTGCGAATCGAGCGCCCTAACCATCAAGCCATACCAGGCCTCGGTCGACTTAAGAGTCTGTGCAAATTTAACAGGCCCGGCATGTTTATGTACTTTAATTTTCTCTGTAATGTAGCAATTGGTCTTCCCTCCTTGCATTAATATTATTCCCACTTTTAATTTTTAATTACAATTTTTCTTTTTAATGTGTTACTTTTATGAGGTCGCCCAACAATACTTGACTTGTATTCTAATATAATGATCACATATATATATATATATATCATAAAACACTAGATGCAAAAGCCACTTCTATTAAATATGTTCTTGCATATATTAAGTACATTGTTTACATTTATCCCTACATCAACTTTTAGAGTAAAGCATCAACGATACTGAGTTTTTAACTGTGCAAATATAAATTGATTCTTGTCGAGTGCAGTATGCAAGTACTGTATACCTTACTCTATTATGGCATATGGGCCTGGCATGGCCAAGTGGTTAGGGTGCTCGACTCGCAATCTGAGGATTGCAGATTTGAATCCCCGTCCCACATGATCCTCCCTTTTAAAGGTAAGGCAGTCTAGCCGCCATATTGGCTCTGTCAAGCTTTCCTGGCAGAACCGATTAGTTGTATGGGAGTAAGTAGCAGATGAGAGGTTTATTAAAGGTTGTTTTTCAAGATATGCCAGTGGCAATATAAATATTGAAAGTACATAAGAATATAATTATTCATGTCCACTGGGGTTGATTATTTAAATAACATTTTATTTTCAATTTTAGTTTTCTTGTCAAAAACCAACAAGTTACTTGTGACTTAACACCTTACTGAATATAAGTGTGTTTATCTTGAAAGTAAGCATAACTTATTGGCACATCCCGTATCATTCTTAGTTGATTAACCCATAGTTAACAGGTACAAATACAAAAGCCTAGGAAGAGTTAGAGGACAAACAAACACGCAAATGTTTCTCAAATTATAGTAGGATCCTAAAAAGCATGATAACACTGAACATTTCCCTGCAATCAGTTGGAATTGTAGGTGCAACGAGTGGTGGCTGAGCGATAACGCCAAAAATCGGATTTCGATACCCGTGGTGGACAGAGCACAGATATCCTATGTGTAGCTTTGTACTTATAAACGAACAAACGAAACAGTGAATCCCATTTTCACAGGTGAAGCTTTTTTCTACGTGTTTTTTTTTGTAAAAGGTAAAAACATTTACTACTTCTACTACTACTTCCTTTGAAAGAAGGGTCAGTACCCACTTGCTAGAGCAAACTTGACTAATTTTAAATGTAATGCGTAACGTTAGGCTTAAGTTTACAAGCAGATAATAATTTATTTTGTGTAAGCCCTGATACTAAGGTGAGCCATAATAATATCTGAATTACAATTCACAGGTAGTGTCTACCTCCTTACCGAAGGTGGACGAAGGTTATGTTTTCACCCCTCTGTGTGTGTGTGTGTGTGTGTGTGCTTGTCGGCAAGATTTCTCGAAAACCACTGACTGGATTTGGAGGAAAGTTGGTATACATTTGGAATATGATATAACTTAGAAGTGATTAGTTTTGTAGCGTTAAAGTCAAAGGTCAAGAAAATCTAAAAAATCTCTATCTGTTAACATGGGGGCCGATTTTTGACACTATTGTTGCTCTATAATTCAATCAAAAATCATTGGGTTTTTTATTATACTACGTGGACATATTTAGAATTTTATTCCTCATTATCCTACCAAAAATGGCCCGTATCCGTTGATAACGACGGACATGCAGACACATTTTCGTATTTTTCGAGAGCCGAATATGATCAACGCTGCGTGACGGAGGTATGCGATCTATTGAGTGCCCCTCTAGTTATCAACATTAGTTTATTTTATGTGTCTGTTGATTATTTTATTTTATAAGTACTGTAATGTTTTATTTGCACATATAGTACTTTCATCTGTATAAAGGGGTTTCTATGTTTAAACTACAACAAAACTGATTAGTTTATATGCGAGAGTGAAACGTAAGTCTAGTGTAATGTCGTTAATTATGGAGAGAAAATTTGTTTGTTTTGTTCTGTTTATAGCAAAGCTAAAGCTATCCGTTGCCATCCCTAATTTTGAACTTCCACTAGGTGGAATACAATAAGCCAACAACACTCACTGCCAACTCTTAGCCACTATTTTACCAACGAATAGTGAGACTGGCCATTGCATTATAAAGCCCACATGGTGGAAAAGGTGAACGTGTTCTGTGATAGCTTTTGATCTTACAAGTCGAACGCCCTAACCACTAAGCAATAAAGTTTAGGCTCCAAAAATCTTGAACGTACCACTGTTTACCTATGGTAACGCTGAAGTTGACTGCGCCACTATAGTGCCTCGGCTGATGTGTTCCAATACATACACGTTTTTAAGGCGGGTCACATCTAGTGTTTTATATCTATGATAATGACCACAAGTTTACTTATATGTAACTTTTGTTATATGGTTACCCAAGGTTTTGATTATTGACCTGTTGGTCTAACGTTCTCATAATTTTACTGTTGCCTGTAAAATTATAAATCTGCATCCTGATAAAGGTCTTCTGCTCAAGCAACGATTTTGATTGAGCCAATTGAATTGCCAATTTTACCCGTCTAACTTCCACGCTTTGAATCATTAATGCATTTCTTCCTGCATTCACCAAAAATTAGTTGTAAATACGCACAAACCAAACTACATGGTTACACGCTAAATCCTTTCTTAGATTACGCGTGCATCTAAATAATTAATATTATTAGGAGGCAGTGAAGCCATTTGTTTTTGTTCCAAATATGCATTATTTTTTCATAGAATCTTATTCATAACTTATTTAGATGTGCGTGTTACTAGGTAACGTTCAACGTAATCTCTCTCACACTGAGGTGTTTTTTCTGTTAAATACAGATTTGTATGATGTCAATGCCTTAAACTAATTTTGAAGTCCCACGTAGAAGAGGTAGGATAGCTCGGCATTTTGTATGAGGAGTAGGGTTAGGATTTCTTCGAATAACATCCATACCTATTTTACAACAATTAAAAAACAAAAACTATAAACCAATCCACCTCGAAAGATATGTAGAGCTTGCCTCATCCGGCGAAAGAAAAAAGTTATTGGGTTTATTGATTCATTTTAATCTTGTGTGTGATACTAGAGATGCATTTCAAGTTTTATGTATGTGTGTATATTTCATCATATTCTTACCAAACATGCCATTGAGTGCAGTGACTTACCACAACATTTTTTTCTCCCTGTCGTTGCACATCCATTGAGACACCTAACCACATGTTGTTTTTAAGATCTTCATACGAAAACGATCCGTTGTTGACTATATTGTTATTGCCTATGAAATAAAATGGCAAAAGAGATAGAATTATGATTTATATGATGATTTTTAAAACGAAATTGTGCAAGTTTTATTATTAATATGTGAAACAAAAGAGAAAAAGCCAATATCTGTAAACAAGTTTCTAATAAATAAATTTCTGTTGCGAGTGTTGATTTTTGTTAGAAGTGGAAAATTATTTACCATTAAAATTACTCTCCCCCCAGTGGTACAGCGGTATGTCTGCGGACTTACAACGCTATAAACCGGGTTTCGATACCCGTGGTGAGCAGAGCATAGATAGATCATTGTGTAGCTTTGTGCTTAACTTAAAACAAACAAAGAAAATTAATAATACAGTCATTCACAAGAATAAGACTATTATAAACTATTACAACTAGATATGAAAACGGAATCAAACTGAAGATTTTACTGCAAATCACTAACATGCTGTGGGCAAAACCGTTCTCTGACAGTAAGCAGAACGCTACGTGCATACGATCAACCGTCTCACTGGTGAGAAGAACACAGATAGCCCATTGTGTAGCTTTGTGCTTAACTTTAAACAAACAAACAAAATTAAATTACTCACCGCCAGGGAAGAAATTAAGGAACAACATTTCGTTAAAAAAAGACTATAGATATACTGACTTGGCACTAAATTTCGTTCTAAAGACACTAAAACAAAGAATAGAATTATCCATATACTATAAGTGAAAATTGGTTAATATAGGCCATAAAGACTACAAGTGAATGTGTGGCCTGATGACAATATGATGATCATTTATTCAACGAGTTAAAATTGCCTAAAGAAGCAGAAATATATCCATAATTGATTGTGAACGGTATTTACATACGTGCTACTAACCTTTTGCTACAAGTAAAGGATACCTAATTACATTAAGAGGGTTGTATATCTACGAGTTAAAGTTGTCAATTACGCGATAATAACCAGCAGTACAAGTTGCCCAATAATATTATGATGCCTATATGTATCCTGCAGTTAAAGTTACCAATTGTGCGATAATATCCATTTACGAGTTTCCTAATCATATTATGAGGGCTTTATATCTTAAAATTATTCCTGTTGGGATACTTCTTCCCGTGAGAAAACAACGTAAGTTTCCGTTTATATGGAAACCAGCTGAGTTACCCGGCGTTGCACGGTGAATATTTAGATTTAAAATGTATAGATCAGTATTTTTTTCAGCAAATTATTCAGTAAGTAGACAAAAGCTGTGATGCGAGAAATAAAAAATCATTTAATCAAACAAAGCTTTATTTGAAATTAGATCGTGTTTGAGCTTGTCTTGTTCTTTGAACCTGAAGTCGTACATCGTGTTGCTCCTCTGTTTCTTGCTCTCTGTACGTTATTTGCTTTATTTTT